AGAACAATTGATTTTTTAAGTCTGAGCATTTTTGGAGCTTCGAGCTATAAAATACTCAAGTGTGAATGCAGTCTAAGACAGCATCCAATGAACCTACCAGCATGTCTTTGGAGTGTGGGAGGAAACCCATGCAGGCACAGGGAGAACAGGCAAACTCCAGGCAGCTAGTGCCATGGTTGGGATTCGAATCAACAACACTAGTGCTGCTAGGGGGAAGTGCTAACCAATTAGCCACTGTGCTGCCCATAAGCGGATACACAAGGCCCCTTTTTTAGATGAGCAGGGTTGAGTAGAGGGGTTAGAACTAGGGTTGCACTGATGCTAATGCCGGTATTGGTGCCGATACTAAGCATTTGCACGAGCATAAGTACTCATGCAAATGCTCCAATACCTTAAATGATACTTTGAGGCTCAGAGGGATTCCCCCGCTGACAGCTGTAATGTAAACAAAAAAAAGCTGGAGTGGGGTTGCCACATCCTTAACAACCGATCACTCATTCTGCTGTCAGCGGAGTTCCCCTGCTGACAGCTGAAGTGTAAACAAAACAGTTGCTGGCAAGTATCGGTAACTGGTATTGGCGAGTAAAAATTAAAACGTTTTGGCACTTGTACTCGCTGTAATAAAATGGGGTACTTGTCTGTTAATTCACCGGATTTATATATATATATATATTTTTTTTTTATGTTTTATGTAAATATATAAAAAATATATATATATATATATTATTTATTTATATATATATATATATACATAAATAAATCCGGTGAATTAACAGACAAGTACCTAAAATGGGATCGGTGCATCCCTAGTTACAACCTCTGCCAGTTAGGCTGCCCATACATTATACAATTTTCTTGAGAATTTTGCTTTAGATTTACCGAAAACCATATAATATGAGGTCAAACCTAAACAACACTTTTACTTGTATCCAATTAGGCAGGCCCTTTTACTACATAGTTGAAGGTAAATCTAAAGAAAATTGGGCAGAAATTGGACAGAAAATTGTATAGTGTATGGCCAGCCTTAGGCACCACCACTACAGTGATCTCAGATAGCTTTGGGGTTCTATTCCAGGTGCCAGCCTGGGAACACTTCGGGGAGGATTAACTAAAACTGGAGAGTGCAAAATCTGGTGCAGCTGTGCATGGTAGCCAATCAGCTTCTAACTTCAGCTTGCTCAATTAAGCTTTGACAAAAAAACCTGAAAGCTGATTGGATTCTATGCACATCTGTACCAGATTTTGCACTCTCCAGTTTTAGTAAATTAACCCTTTGTATTTTTTTCAGTGAATGCAAAGCATTCTCTGATTGGATGAGGTGGAAAGGCAAAAGAGGTGATGTCACAATTTCCACCTCGCCCAATCAGAGAATGCTTTGCATTCACCACTTGCCCTCCAGAGGATTTACCCCCCTTCCTGACCAGGCCATTTTTTTTGGGATACAGTGCTGCGTTACTTTAACTGACAATTGCGCAGTCATGCAACGCTGTACATAAATGAAATTTATGTTCTTTTTTTCCGCCACAAATAGAGCTTTCTTTCAGTGGTATTTGATCACCTCTGCATTTTTAATTTTTTGTGCTAAACAAAAAAAGACTGACAATGTTGAAAAAAAAACCCAACATTATTTTAACTTTTTGCTATAAAACATATACAGTAAAAAAATGTAAAATATCAAATGTCTTCATAAATTTAAGCCAAAATGTATTCTGCTACATGTCTTTGCTAAAAAAAAATCCCAATACATGTAAATTAATTAGTTTACATGAAAGTTATAGCGTCTACAAATGGCAGTATATATACTGGAATTTTGTTCTTTTTTTCATACTAGTAGCGATCAGACTGCGGTGTTCATTCTGACACTGTGTGGGAACTGAGTAACTGTTACTGACATCCCCAGTGACATTAATACAATGATCAGTGCTAATAAAAAATACTGACACTGTACTAATGGCACTGGGCAGGAAGGACTGGGGCGAGCAAAGGGTTAACTGTGTGCTGTGTTTTACATTATGTGCTGTGTGTATTTTACTAGGGAGACATGCTACTTTGTATCTCTCTTCTGTGCAAAGAAATACAAAGCTGCATGTCCTTGCTGGCAGGAGAGAGACCTGTGTTGTTTACACACAGATCTCTCCTCTGTCAGCTTTCTCCAACGATTGCCGGCTGCTAGCGGGGAATCTCCGGCCAGGACCCGATGATTGACATCCCTAGCCACCAATGGCAGCGCGGGTAGGGAGAAGTGTGCGTGTGCCAGGCACCCTAAACGGAAATGTAAATCACATATATATAAGTGATTTTGTGCAGCCCTGCCACCCTGTAGCAGTAGTTATACTATAGGGCCCCGGGAAAGCGGTTAAAAAAATGCAAAGTGTTCTTTGACTAGTAACTATGCCAAGTGAGGGACCCCCTGTGTTCACTAGGCAGCTGGACAGTCATGGAACCTGGAAGCTAGTGTAAAACATTGTAAAAGCAGTGCCTACTACAAAGATTTTCCACTTCCAGAGAGATCAGCCAGGTATGGATCATGCATATTTACAAAAATATCCATACCTGGAATTCAGCTTTATTGTAAACATGTATCTATGGATGGATCTGTCAGTTTGGTATTGTGTAAATATCAAACATATTATTCTGATCTAGGTAGTGTGATATGAAGTCTAGCTATGGACAGAAATGTAATTTTGTCACTGCACTGCATGAATATATACATGGCAAGCTCCACCAAAAACGTTATGCTTAATGCAGTTAGTCCTGCAGCTAGCTTTAAAATTAGATGAAGGACGGGGGGGGGGGGGGGGCAGAAAAATAGCTGTCTGCAGGTATGAATCTGGCCATGATCACCGTACTATCCTGGACATGTTTTGTAATTGTTCCTTAACCATATGGAAGAAATGTGGAAGTCTTAAAGCCAGATGAACACATGTGCATGCTAAACTTAGATTCACCAATAGATGGTTGTAGGGGTCCATATTCACATCTAAATCTGTATTTTTCATATGCAACACTGTTTATAGATGCACACAGTTGGGTATTAGCTTTGCTGAATTGTATCCACATGCTTCGTAAACCATAAACCACAATAATACCGTATATGAAAGGCTCTAGAGTCTGAGCTCTACTTCCTAGAACATTTTGACTTGTGACTTAAATTTAGACACCAGCCCCCTTGCACACTTCCCAAACAGAAAAAGAAAGAAAAAAACAGGTTTGAATAGATTGCAGAATAATTAAAAATTCTGTCAGCTTTTATTTTGGTTTGTGGTTTCCCTCACTTCATATGATACCTGTACAATTTATATAATATATATTTGTTAGCAACTATTTTCAAGGATGAAGCACGCGAAGTGCAAAATTAGAACCAGAATATCTGATGAGGACCTTGAGAATTAATTGAGAATTGCTACTACATCCATTATACCAGATATTGATGGGTTCTTTTTTCAAAAACAGTGTCAAATATTGCACTAGTTTTATGTTGCCCTCTTTTATTTTTATATTAACAAATATTACAAAAAAATGAAGTTTTAATACTCAGATAAGTACATTATCAGTGATAGTTAACTTTTGATCTGCCCGACTTTTTCTGCTCATCAGCAGTCCTTATAGTTAGTGTATTTTACCTATGGCCCAAGACACTTCTGGGGTTATTTACGAAAATTGGAGAGTGCAAAATCTGGCGCATCTCTGCATAGAAACCAATCAGCTTCCAGGTTTTATTGTCAAAGTTTAATTGAACAAGCTGAAGTTAGAAGCTGATTGGATACCATGCTCAGCTGCACCAGATTCTGAGTGCTCCAGTTTTATTAAAGCGGAGTTCCAGTTGAATAAAAAAAAATAAAAGTCAGCAACTACAAAAACTGTAGCTGCTGACTTTTAAAATACAGACATTCACCTGTCCCTCGGTCCAGCGCTGTCGTCACCATGGCCGGTTTCACCGGCTGTCTTCTCTTCTCGACGCTGGCATCATTAGTTTGGGCACCTTCACAGCCGAGTGCACAGTGTGCGCGCGCGCGAGTAGCGCTGCACTTTGTGAAATGTCCCATAGTCTTCTGGGACCTGTCACGTGTCCCAGAAGACTACAGGGAGGGAGGGGGGAGGACAACTTCCGTTTCCAATCGCCTTAGGTTATCGCACCAGAAGTGCTCCCCAAAGGTGCCAATCCTTAATGGGGAGCGGAGGACAAAGCATTAATTTGGAAATTCCCCTTTTGGGTTAAGCTACGTTTTAAATCAACTCCTTCCTTTTCTTCCAATGTGAATGTTTTTTTTCCTGCAAACTCTCCCCTGTAAAAACAAAATATTTATTTAAAAGAAAAAGGAATACATCAGCACCACTCACTTGTGTCCCTGTTCCAATTAGGGAAGGTTGCACCAATGTTAACTCATTTTCAGTTACTGAAAAGTAAAATTAAACAAATCTTGTCATTCATATACTAATGTATCAGACTTTAGGCTCCATGGGAATAACTGATTGGGGACAACAAATAATATCAATCAGTGTTGATGGGCTGTGTATCCAAGTTGCCCATCATTATGCAAATTTGGTTGTGCATCCTCTACTAGCGTACAATGCTTGATATAGTGTCAGGTACTGTTTAACCGCCTCCCGCCCTCCATATAGTACAATGACGGTTGCAAGGAGGTTTTCTCGTTCTGGGAGGACGTCATATGACGTCCTCCCATTCTAATCGCGCATGCGCGGCTTCGGGAGCGCGCAGTGCGGCAATCGGCGGTGTTGCTGTGTCCCCCGGACACAGCGGATCACCGATCAACAGAAAGAGCCGAAGATGTCGGCTCGGTCATGTGATCAGCTGTGTTCAATCACAGCTGATCTCATGTAAATAGGGAAATGCTAGTTATCGGCATTTCTCTGCTCACGAGCTGTCACGCTGACAGCTCGAGAGGAGAGCAGAGCTGGTAATCGGCATCCCTCAGAGGGGACATGTGCACTGATCATCAGGGCACTGATTATCAGTGTGCCCTGATGATCTGTGTAGCCCCAGCAGTGCCACCTGTCAGTGTCCATTAGTGCCAGCTATCAGTGCTCATCAATGCCACCTGCCAGTGCCCATCAGTGCCACATCAATGCCGCATTTCAGTGCCTACCAGTGCACATCAATGCCACATATCAGTGCCCATCTGAGCTGCCTTTCAGTGTCACCCATCAGTGCCAGTCAGTGCCACCTATCAATGCCAGTCAGTGCCACCTATCAATGCTGCCAATCAGTGCCATCTATCAGTGCCGCCTATCAGTTCCAGTCAGTGGCGCCTATCAGTGTGCATCAGTGCCGCCTATCAGTGCCCGTCAGTGTTGTGTATCAGTGCCACTTAACAGTGCCACCTATCAGTGCCAGTCAGTGCTGCCTATCAGTGCCACCTATCAGTGCTGCCTATCAGTGCCATATATGAATGCTTCCTTTCAGTGCCCATCAGTGACGCCTGTCAATGCCCATCAGTGCCACCTACTAGTGCCTCCTCATCAGTGCCCATCAGTGCCACCTATCAGTGTCCATCAGTGCAGCCTATAAATTCCCATCACTGCAGCCTCATTAGCGCACATCTGGTAAAGACCCCCACAAGAAGTAGAGAGTAGAGATAGGAAACCAACACTCAGCCAACCCATATCATCTGGTATTTAGAGCCAACCAGTCGGCAGAGAGTGTTCCTTAGTAGATAGAAACGTTGTCTCCAAGATGTTATATTGTCAGAAATGTAGGCCAAAACAGGGGTTCCCCACAGACAGATAAGGGATAGCAGCTGAGGCTGGTCTGATATAATGTCAAGAAGAGTGCTGCTTTTCAGGGGACTGAGGTGGGCAGTGTTGGCAGTGGGGTAGGAGATGGTGGAAAAGGTGGCTACATTCAGCTCTTACCCCGCTGTCAACACTGGTCAGATTGGTCCCATGGAAACCAGTGCTCTTCTAAACTAGTGCTCTTCTTGGCATTGTGTCAGATTAACCTTTGTTGCCAGCCCTTAACTACCTGTGAGTAACCCCTGTTTTGACCTACATTTCAGACAGCATAACATCTTGGAGGCACTGCTTGTATCTACCAAGAGACACTCCCTGCGGTATAGTTGTCCCTATATAACAGGTGATGTGGGTTGGCCGAGTACTGGTTTCCTGTCTGTGCTGTCTTTCTCTTGTGGGAATCCTTAATGGCTGAGTGGGACAGTTTAGAACTGAAGTGTATATTTGCCAATCTGTATTTCTGTATAATAAATATACAGAACAATTGATCCAATACATGCATGATATCAACAACCCAGAACTGTTAAGTACCGCAAAATGCATCGGTTATGGTATTCAAATGGACATTAATCTGAACTTTGATCTGTACACATGGTGTTTGATATCATTGGCTTTATTTTATTTTGCAGTAAATAAAAATTACTTTCTGAAGATCTTATATACACATGTTGTTTTGGACTAATATATTTCTTCCTCACTGGTTTATGTAATATTGGTTAGTGGGAGCTTGCTTTTCCACCAGTCTCAGCAGACATGGCTTTGGGGAAGTTACCATTGCTATATTTGCTATCTCAGCAATGGTCCTTGTTCTCATGTTGAAATTCTGTAAATCTGAGACATGCCCAGGGTAAATGAAAGAAATTTCCCATTTACTGCTCCCATATCTCCCACATGATAGGGATAAGATAGCATTTAGCTTTTGGAGCCCATATGTTGTATAGTCAGCTCTGTATAGTAAGGTTCCAGGAATTGGGAGTTAGAGAACGGATATGGAACGGATATGGAAAGGGACACGAGATATCACTGAAATACGATATGAAGAAACAGTCATACAAATTTTTGCAGATGAGGCGCCAGAGACATTAGCGAGAAGGAGAGCCTTGAAGCCATTGGTCTATATGAGAGAGAAAAAAGTCAGATGTAATTGGGGGTTCCCAGCTTCATTGATCGGATGGAAAGATGGAAGATCGGCAAGGCTGAGATATCCAGAAGATTATAATGACTTTTGTGATAAATTAGATTTGCAGTGAGTATTTGTTCTGGGGTGGTCTGTAGGAGCAAGGGAAAAAGAAGTACATGGTTCAGGAGGGTGGCGACAGGCTCCAGGGAGGAAGAGTTAGGAGGTTGAGATATAGATGGGGGGGAGGCGGATCGGGGGGACGCGGAGGAGGGAGTTGAGTCCCGGGGGGTTCTCTCTCTCTCCCGCCTTGTCTCTCTCTCTTTTGCTTTTGCCCCGCTCCGCCTTCCCTCCCGATAGGTTAAAGTTAGATTGGGTTGGAATTATTATACCCCCCAATGGTTTGTACCCCTACTGAGATAGCAGAGTGTGAGAGGGGGGATTTAGGCTGACAGGGCAGGCTGGTGTCAAGGGGGAACATGGTACACAACTATCCTTTAATACCAGGAATGTCATCTGTCCAGGTAAATGGGGGGTGGTCATGTGCTGAGCTTCACCCTAAAGTAGGAATTGCTAGAAAGGATCTTTTTAGACAGTTTCCAAGGCTTAATGTAGGCCAGGGGGGTGAAGGGGAGGAGGGAGGAGGACAAGGGTGGGATGGGGTGGAAAGAAGAGGGGGATGGAAAAGAAGTGGATTGGTAAAAACTATCTGTATCCAATTAGATATGAAATTAAGGTATTAGGTCAAAACAAGAAAGGAGGATATGAATGAGATTAAGTTTATGACCTATAAGGTGAAAGGGTTAAACTCACCAAAAAAAAGACATAAAATACTTAGGGAAGTCCAGCAATACTGTATAGACATAGTATTTCTCCAAGAAACTCATCTAACCAGAAATACAAATGTGAAACTATACTCGAAGCAACAACAAACTTGGTTTTATGCTGATTCATCTGTAAAGGGAGCAAAAGGGGTATCAATTGGGATTTCAACAAAAGTTAATTTTCACCTGGAGGACAGAATGGAAGACCCAGAAGGTCGGTACCTGTTCATCAGGGGAAGGTTACAGGGAAGGGAATATACACTGGCCAATATATATTGTCCTAATAGCAAGATTCCTAGAGGGGATAATAAGGAAACTGGTGGATTTTAGGGGAACCTGGTCGTGGCAGGGGATTATAATCTATGTTGGGACTCTAGATGGGATGTGTCACCTGGAGCGAGGAGAGAAGAAGATAGGAGTCTTAAATTATTGAAGATGTTACTGTATAGACATCAGTTAGTTGCTGTGTGGAGGATAAATCATCCTAGGAAAAGAGACTATACCTTCTTCTCCCATGCTCACGGTTCATACTCAAGATTGGATTATATAATGATTGAGCACAGACAGTTGGAGAACCTGAAAGGATCAAGCGTAGAAGTTATGTCAATATCGGATCATGCCCCTGTCACGATGTGGTTACAAATAGGGAAATGTGAAGATAAAATACTTTCCTGGAAATTGAATGAAATGCTTTTACAGGATCCTGAAGTTGAGAAGAGGCTAAAAAAGGAAATTGAACAATTTTTTGAGATAAACGAGACCGAGGGAATATCCGAGGCAACAGTTTGGGAGTCACATAAAGCTTATATCAGAGGAATATTGATCTCAATAGGCAAAGAAAAGAAGAAGGAAAGAGGGAAAAAAATTAAACAGGTCATTGAAGAACTACAAAAATTGGAACAAATACATAAAATAAGAAATGGGATAGATATAGATAGATAGATAGATAGATAGATAGATAGATAGATAGATAGATCGATCAGAGGATAGTACTAAAAAGAGATGAGTTGAAAGAACTGATGGAACAGGAGGATACCAATGGGGGAATAGACCAGTAAAACATCTAATGAGAAGACTCAGGAATAAGAGAGCCAGGAATTTCATAGAAAAAATAGAGATGGGAAGGGAGAGAATATGTATAAAACATCAGATATTGCCAGGAGGTTTTATAATTATTATAGTGAACTGTATAATGTAAGAAGGGGAAAGTACAGGGGAAGTGAGGAGGAGGAGATAAAAAGAAGACAGAACTATCTACGTGAGGTAGAGTGAGGTAGAGTTACCAAGAATAGCACAGGAAAAATTGGAAAATCTTGAAAGCCCTATCACCCCAAAGGAAATTAACTTAGCCTTAAAAAACACGACAGTAGGTAAAAGTCCTGGACCAGATGGGTATACAGTAAGGTACTTGAAAAAGTTTAGAGAGCTTCTTGTCCCTAAGATATGTAAATATATGATTGCGATAGGAGAGGGATCAGAAATGAGGGACGAATCCCTTTAAGTTTACATCACGCTCATTTTGAAGGAAGGGAAGGATTGCTCTCAATGTGCGAGTTATAGGCCGATTTCATTGTTAAATGTAGATACCAAACTGTATGCAAAGGTACTGGCAACAAGGCTGAAGGACCTAATGCCTGAATGGGTACATATGGACCAGGTAGGCTTTGTACCAGGGAGAGAGAAGAGGGGGACAGTGGTTTGAGATCCTTGATTGTCAGGCTCCGCCCAACGGGATCTCTAGTGGTCCACAGCACGGGGTTTCCCACGACGCGGAGTCTAAGTCCCAGTCTGCCTTTTCACCAGGGCCCCTGATGATGGGGATGGACTTGGTGCAAGACTGAAACCAGGTCGCGCCCCTGGGCACCCCCGGCGGTGGCAGAGGGGTCCCGCTGAGGGTGTGTGCCCGGGATGAGCCTGCTGTGAAGGGGAAGACAGGTCCGATCCGAGCGGGACGGATGGGATGACAGATCCCGATCTGAGCGGGATGGATGGGATGACAGATCCCGATCCGAGCGGGATGGATGGGTGACTGCTAGGAGCGAGGTCAGACTAGCCGGGTTGGTATCGTGCGGGCAACGTGGTACAGGGGGAGCAAGCGGAGAATGGTCGGGGTCACAAGCCAGGTTCAGCAGGTAGCGGGCAGCGTGGTACAGGGGATCAGGCAGAAGGATGGTCAAGAACGAGCCGGGGTCAGAGCAGGAGAGGGTCAGCAAATATCGGAACAGGCAGAGTTTGGCAACAAGGAAACGTACTTACAGGAACAGGAACAAGACCTTGCGGCAAATTGGAGATGCACAGGGCAGTTTTAAATAGAGCGCCCTGTTCTCCCATTGGTGCGGCCGTGATCGCTAGTGCGCATGCGCGGCCGCGATCGCCGAGGACTCTGTGCTCGCCGGCTGGGACGGATCGGCCATCTGCGCATGCGCGCACCGCCGAGGACCCGGGATCCCTGACATTGCCCCCCCCTACGGGCAACCTCCGGATGCCCAACCGACCCCTTCTTAACGGCTAGTTCCGAAAAATTCCTGCACAAGTCTTGGGGGCATGCACATTTTGGGCCGGCTCCCATGAATTTTCCTCCGCCCCATATCCCTTCCATTTAACCAGAAACTGAGTTTGGCCTCCCCTTTTCCTACAATCTAAGATA